AATATAAATTTGCTAAGGACTTATTTGGGATCAATTTTATTTTTAATTTTTTTTAATTTTTATGTAGTTTTCTTTTTTGTAGCTAAAAAAATATAATCCTTTTCTGACTTAACAAATATTTACCAGCATACCACCAGATGTTTCACATTGAAGTTCAAATTAATCTGACAGGCTGATGTTCTAGAGTACTATGATCAGACAGTCTCCTCTCCTCAAGGCTCCTTCTACATTCCAGCTGTTTTAAGGGTATTAAAACTTTTCTTACATACATACCCCCACCCATTTCCTATGTATTTACATATCTAACACCTTAACTTTTTACTTTTTTACATTCATGCCAACCAAATCTTTCATAACACGTCAAAACTACCACCATTTTAACTTTTTAAAATGAGAAATACATATTTTCATGCATATGTTAGGCGGCATGTGCGTAAAAATTGAAATTTAGGTTTTAAGACATGTAAATACATAGGAATTGAGTGGTATGTATGTAAATCTTTATTTATGTTCGATTGAGTTCAGCTCATTAATTAGCTCGAGTTTGAGCAATTTTTACAAGCTCTTAATGTTTAATGAGCCAAACAGATGTGATAGTGGTCGACTCGATGATAGCTTGATTATGTTTATCCATACGTAAACGTACGTGTTATATATGCATGTGTGCATTTATATTTATATGCATTCATGTGTGGGGAAATTTACATGCATACCACACAATTCTGATGCATTTGCATATCCAACACCTAAAGTTTGATATTTACACGAAATAACAATTCAAGTGTTTGATATGTAAATATGTATAAGAATTGTGTGGTATGTATGAAAATGCCCCTTAGGTGTTGATCTTTATATTTTATAATTTAGGTGCATTTACATACATAGCACACCATTCTTATATATTTACATATCTAACACGCCAACTTTCATTTTTACACATATAACCCTCAACGTTTTAATATCATATTAAAAAAACACTATCACCACTTTTTAAAAGGTTTAAAGCACCAAAGAGCTATATATGTGCACACGAAAGCTTAGCTGTGTGATATGTAAGTACATGAGAATTGTGTGCTATGGTTTGCAAATAGAATGAGCCGAATAATAACAAAGATTTCGTCTTGTTTGCTTGATGAAATGAATTGAATAACACGAGCTCAACTTGTTTACACGCGTCGACCTCACCGACGACTTCTCTCTCTCTCTACAGGGGCGTCGCCTGCTTCAGGCAGTGAAGAGAAGGAGAATAAAGCACACTCTCAGTCGAAAAAGCATATTTTTCCGGGATTCGTACACTTGCCAGTAGGTTTATTTTGCAAAAATGAATTGTTTTTACTTTTATAACTTGTAACATATGCATGTAGAAAGTGTGCTCTAATCCTCATTTGATGGCATGCCATTATTATCCTTTAGGATTATGTGTTTTATTTCTGATTTTTTATTGAAAAAGCACGAAGATTTACATGCATGTCACTCAATTCTCATGTATTTTTTACATACCTTACTCCTAAAACTTCAATTTTTACATGCGTACCTCATCACCCATGCATGGAAAGCTGTAAAAAAGGTGATATTTTTGATGTGATGTGAAGGATTTGGGTGATGCAAGCTTAAAAAAGCAAGATTTAGGTGGTAGATATGCAAATAAATAGGAATTGAGTGCTATGTATGTAAATGTTCCCAAAAACAATTTGATTTGATGTAAGGAGAATAGGTTTTAGGTGTTCTTTAAAATTTAAAATTAGTTTGTTTTCTTACATTGAAGACTACAACCTTCTAACTTTTAAAACGTGAAATACATCTTTTTCATGCCCTGGCAAAGTGGTTTTAATTATGAAGTTATCAAGTTTAGGTGGGAGTATGATGTTGTAAATACATAGGAATTGGGTGGTTTGTATGTAAATCTTCCCGCATGTGTTTTCTGAGGTTATATCTGTAAATTTCGAGTTCATTTAAGCAAAATGTTATCATTCGTGAGAAGCTATACATAAACTGGTTTCTGCTGCTTGCTTTAAAAGTAGTGTTACTAAGATTCATTTCTTGTTTATCAACAGGTATTGTTCTTCTCGTCTGGACTGTACTATTGACCACGTCCTGCCAATTTCAAGGGGTGGCGAATGGAAATGGGAAAATCTGGTATTTTTGTTTTTCTTATGATAAAAATTGCTCGTTTAATTTTTTGTGTGGGGTTCAGGTTGATCCGCCAACCCGAAATAGATTTGGAATTGACCCGCCAACTCTAAATTGACCCAATATTGACTCTGAATATACTCGAGTTTAACATGAATAGTTGGTCATTAGGACTTTTAACGATCCAATTACGAGCCGAGTTGAGGTCGGCTCCAAATCGGCTTGAAAAAAATTTATGCTCGAATAATTTTCAATCCAAAATTTTGACTCATTTTTTTCGACCCGATCTCATTCTGTTATGGTATGACTCATATACCATATCGGGAC